CATACTCCCTGCTAAAATGGGGGTTCGTCTTATATGCCACAAAATACAGTACTGTATTTTTGGAGTTTTTTTATATAATTATTTATCGTTTTTATACATTTACTACATTCACCGGAAGATACGGACAATCGGCTTTTTCAGACAGGTGATCCCACTTTTTAGTCTGGATCTTCAGGGTTTACAGTACAGCTACTCCTCGACTTACGACATACTCGACCTACGACCACCCGGACATACGACCGCCTCAGTCGTACCAAAATTTTGTCAAATTACGTATTTTCGAGTCCCAACGTTAGTGATTGCGCTGTGTACTGACAAAATTTTCGTTTGTAATCCACTTTAAAATGGCTGGCATGCTTAAAAGTGAGATTTTTGTGGTGCTGAGAAGAGAGAGAGACCCATTTTAGATTTTCTATGTATTATTTAAGCATTTTCGACTTAGGCCTGGATTTGGGTCCCTAACCCCGTCATAAGTCGAGGAGCAGCTGTATAGTACAGGCATTCCTTGAGATACGAATGTGTTAGGTTCCAAAAAACATTTGTTAAGTGAATTTACAAATCTTGAATAAAAGAACATTCACTATGGGAAAAATAGGGTCCAATTCCCCAATGACAAAAATACCCCAATATCCGAGGTTAAGAATCAAGAGAATTTTCTGAAAATGTCTTAAATAAAGATGAAAGTTAAAGTATTTTTGGGGGGACCTGACCTGACTCAATGTCAGGTAGAGTTAGGGTGGGGTGGGGGATTAGTGGTCTCATATTACTGACCTGATGGAATGTCAGGTCACCCTTTCTTGGGCAGGGGATTAGTGGGTCTCATGACTTGAAGATGTCTTGAGTAAACAAGAAAGCTAAAGTATTTTTAGGGAGATTGTAATAAGTATAAGTAAAAATGAGCAAAGTTTATCCATTCAACATTACATTACATAACATTTTAAAATATGAAGTGAGAGAGCAGAAAGGTGTGGGTGATTAGAGAGATGGAGTGGAAAGGAGTGGTAACATGCACCAGTGTTTGTCAAGCGGTAAGCTTCTCAACAGCTGATCTTTTAATTCGCCTCCATGTACCGTTAGCCACACAACAAGACCCTCACTGGATACTTATTGTCTTAATTCCCATTTGTGTGTGTGTGTGTGTGTGTGTGTGTGTGTGTGTGTGTGTGTGTTTTTTTTTTTTTGAGCTTGCCAAGCACATTGTAGGATTTGAAGAGGTTGATGAAGAATTTGTTCAGGAGTCAGGTGGTGAAGTGACATGCCAAGACACTTACACAACACAAGCATTAACAGCACTACTAAACCATTGTCTTATAACATTTTACATTATAATTTGTATTTAAAAATTAATTGATACATGGTGGCTCGACTGGGCTACATTTGCACTTAGACAACTGATCAATGAATAAACCAGGGCACATGGAAACTCATTATACACGAGTGATGTCACGAACCTTTGAAACTGCAACCACAACTTCTGAGCAACCACATAAATTATCACAACATTTACTCAAATGTACTAAAACTATTATGTCTGGTGCAATATAAGGGATTTTTATACAGTTGGTCCTCATATTACGCGGTTAATGTAACCCGGAGGGTACCGCGGAAAGTGAGAAACGCGTAAAGTGAATAACATAACATATGGGATTAATTGAAATGGAGTCCGGGCCGACCCCCAAACTCCACTTTTTGACGACACACAACTATGTTGTAGTAAAAATATTATCTTAACTTTATGATGGCATGCACACACAATTAATAATTAAGAGAAATATCAATAATATTAGGTTTTTTATCTCCTGAGCCACCCACTCTTTCTTCTCATGAGCCACCCATTCTTTATTCTCCTTAGCCACTCACTTTTTCTTCTCCAATGCCACCCACTCTTTTTTCTCCTGAGACACCCACTCTTCTGTTTCATAAGCCACCCACTTTCTTACCCTGAGCCACCCACTTTTTCTTCTCCTGAGCACACCCACTTTTCTTCTCCTAAGTCACCCACTCTTTTGGCTCCAGAGCCACCCACTCTTTATTCTCCTGAGCCACCCACTTTCTTCTCCTGAGTTACCCACTCTTTTGTCTCCGGAGCCACCCACTCTTCTGTCTCAGGAGCCACCCACTCTCTCTCATGAGCCATCCATTCTTTTTTCTCCTGAGCCACCCACTCCTTCTCCTGAGCCACCCACTCTTTTGTCTTATGAGCAACCAACTCTTGTCTTTTGAGCCACCCACTCTTTCTTCTCCTCAGCTACCCACTTTTCCTTCTCCCGAGCCACCCCTTTTCTCTCATGAGCCACCCACTTTCTCACTGAGCCACCCACTCTTCTCCTGAGCCACCCACTCTTTTTGTCTCCGGCCACTCACTCTTTCTTCTCCTCAGCTACCCACTTTTCCTTCTCCCGAGCCACCCCTTTTCTCTCATGAGCCACCCACTCTTCTACTGAGCCACCCACTTTTTCTCCTGAGCCACCCACTCTTTTTGTCTCCAGAGCCACTCACTCTTTCTTCTCTGAGCCACCCACTTTTCCTTCTCCTGAGCCACCCCTTTCTTTCATGAGCTATCCACTCTTCTACTGAGCCACCCCACCCTTTTGTCTCACGAGCCATCTACTTCACCACCATGAGCCACACACTTTTCTCCTGAGCCACCCACTTTTTCTCCTGAGCCACCCACATTTTCTTCTCATGAACCACCCACTTTCTTCTCCTGAGTCACCCACTCGTTCTTCTCCTGAGCCACCCACTCGTTCTTCTGGGCCACCCATTTCTTCTCCTGAGCCACCCACTCTTTCTTCTCCTGAGCCACCCACTCTTTATTCTCCAAAGCCACCACTCTTTTCTCCAGAGCCACCCACTCTTCTTTCTCCAGAGCCACCCACTCTTCTTTTTCCTGAGCCATCCACTCTTCTTTCTCCTGACCCACCCACTCGTTCTTCTCCTGAGCCACCCACTCTTTCTTCTCCAAAGCCAAACACTCTTCTGTTTCATGAGTCACCCATTCTTTTGTCTCATGGGCCACCCATTATTTTGTCTCATGAGCCACCCATTCTTTCTTCCCCTGGCCACCCAATTTTTTGTGTCATGAACGACCCATTCTTTCTTGTCATGAACCACTCACTCTCTTCTCATGAGCGATCCAATCTTTTGTCTCATTAGAAATCCATTCTTGTAGCCTGTAGTCCTGTAGTATATATATACAGAACTGTAAACAAAAGGCATGTCTCGGTAGGCCAGTCCACCCCTGCCCCAGAACCTCACAACGGACATACACAGCTGGTGTAAACTGTCATAAGATAAAATGAACAAACCACCATGAATTAGGCAGTGCTGAGTTATCAAGGTCCTGCATACCAACTCACCACCCATTCACAAACTAAGTAATTAAGTACAGTTTTGTAGATGCAAACATTTCCAAGATGAGAAATCACTCCTGCCAACAATAAAGACTGTGACCATTGCCAAACTGCAAGAAAAGAGCTAAAAGCAATACTGTACAGCACACCCTTACAATTCATGGATTTTTAATTTGCTGCCTTCGATTATTCGTCGAAGACACCCTGGATATACCCAAGAATGTCTGTGGTAGTTTTAAGTTGGCGGCATGTTCTCAGCCGAGACGGGGAGCACACTAGTTTGTGGCGTCCCATAAGTTGTCTGTCTTGTCCCAGGCTGGCCCACGCACTCACTCCGCCTCAGTCCGGGATGAACATTTGTCCGTCTCGTACGTGTACTACTCTCCTCCCTTAACAACTGTGCTTGTGATGGATCCCAAACGCCCTCAACCACCTTCATCCAGCTGCGATAAGGCGCCCAAACAAGTGAAGAGAGAAAAGGTCGTAACCCTACTGAAGAAAAAGCAACTGCTGGACAAACTTTGGGAGTGGCCAAAGCTTTGTCGCGTGTGGCCGAGAGTATGGCATCAATGAGTCAACTGTCCGCTACATCAAGAAGAAAGAGAGGGATATTTGTAATACCGTTGCCCTAAGTGCCCCGTCTTCTGCCCAAGAAGTCACTAATATGAGGGATACAGCTATGGTGAAGATGGAGAAAGCCCTTAACATCTGGATTGAGGACTTTAACCGACACCACATCCCTCTCAGCCAAAAGTTTATCCGTGACAAAGCCAAGGTCCTGTCTGACTGATTCCATGCTGAGGAAGGCAGTGAAGGGGAAGTGAGTGGTGAGGGTGGTGTTAGTGGTGAAGGTGGCGCTAGTGGTGAAGGTGGTGCTAGTGGTGAAGGTGGTGCTAGGGCTGGTGGTTTTGGTGATACCTCAAAGAAAGGTTTTAATGCCAGTAAGGGGCGATTTGAGAACTTCAAGAAGCACTACAATCTGCACAACTTAAGGATCACTGGGAGAAGGGTTATAAGCTGGAGCAGGCTTTCAATGCTGATGAGACTGGCTTGTGGTGGAAGAAGATTCCAGCCAGGTCGTTCATTTCCAGGGAAGATAGGACTCTGATTACGACATGGACAACCCTACTCCTGCCGTTCCCAGTTCTGACCTCCCTCCGCTTTCCCCTGCCTCCTCTTCCGAGACAGATATGGAGCACTTGTAACTCCCCTGCCTTCATCTTCATCACAATTCATCATATTCATCATGATATTCATCAGTAGCAGGGGAGAAAGGAAAAGCCTCTACACAAACAGTCAGCACGTAATGGTGTGTTAATTGCTTTTTTTTATGTACCCCAGTACTTAAAATAATGGGACAAAAATTGAAAAAAAATTAAGACTTTTTTTTACATACAAAAAATTTACCCCCCTCCCGTCAGCAAATGATATTCGCAGACACGGCAATTCGCGGACATTTTCAGACCCAAGTCCCACGAATTTTAAGTTTTTTTTTTTTTTTTTTTCCAGGAATTAGCCCACCCGGTCACAGGTCAAACAACCCACAACGGGGCTGGGGGCGAAAAAACAAAGAAATTGAAAATAGAGAAGAAAAAGGTTATACTGTATATTAATAGAAAAAATTCATCATTAGCACCCTAGGATTACCTGCACGTTCTCCCATAGAAGCATGTTCCTCTCAGGTAATATCGACACACCATTGAAGGGCGTGCTGCATCTCGACTGTGGGAAAAACGACACCGCTCTCCCTCCCGACAAGCACCATTTATAAAATATCTGAAAAAGAGGAAAAAGAGTATCAATTTTATATCTGCATTAAACTACTTGCCATGCAACATTTTTAAAGAGTCTGAAGTAAGCTATATCATAAAACTAAATCTTAACATATTCCTGTACAATATCAGGGGCAGATCCATGAATTTTTGAAGAAAGGAGGAAGGGCAGACCTGCTCAGATGGTTGAGGTAACTTATGGCAAGTACTGTACTACACAGTGAGCCAGAGTTGTCAAGTAAGGAAGTAAATTTACTCGAGTACAGTACTGTATTCAAGTAAATTTTGGGGGTAGATAGGACAGATAAGACACAGCCATATAAGACGTGCCTCCCGTTTTAGCAGGGAGTACTTAGGAAAAAAAATTTATATGTAGTTTCCTCCTATAGCCATAGTTTTCTTAAAACAATATATATACAGTACAGGTACAGTGAACCCTCACTTTACGCAGTCAATTGAACCCACGGTGGCCCGCGTAAAGTGAGAAACGCGTAAAGTGAACAACATAACATATGGGATTAATTGAAATAGAGACCAGGCCGACCCCCAAACTCCACTTTTTCAGACACAATACCTACGTTGTAATAAAAATAACTTCTTAATTTTATGATGGTATGCACACACAATTAATAATTAAGAGAAATATAAATAATATTAGGTTTTTTAACACTTACAATAGTAGAAAAGATGGCTGGGCATACGGGGATGGGGGTTTGGTTCCGAGGCAGAGGGCAGATTATTGGCCCTCACCTTTATCACTTGTATCAATTGTATCACTATCCACCACAGAGGCTTGCAGGGCCTCTTTCTCAAACCCCTCAAAGTCCATATAAGTCCATATCCTCACTATCATTATCACTATCACTGACTTGGGCCGGCTGTGGTGTGTGGCAGGTGAAGAACTCGGTAATGTTTTGATGACTGGGCAACCTTGTGCGCACCCTGCTCGCGCTGCTCTCCGCGTAAAAGAGTACACACACCGCGGAAAGTGAGCATTCCGGTTTCGGCAGGGTACCGCGTAAACGTGGAAACGCGTAAAGTGGGACCGCGTAAAGCAAGGGTTGACTGTATACAGTACAGTACCAGTAAATGTGAAGAATAAATAAAAATAATACCAATAAATAAGTTTCAACAAAAAATACCGTATTGCCAAACCAGTAAATACAGGTACTCCCCGACTTACGACCGACTCGACTTACGTCCACCCGCACTTACGACCTGCCTCAGTCATACCAAAATGTGGTCAAATTATGTATTTTTGAGTCCCAAAGTCAGTACACAGACAAAATTTTCATCTGTAATTCACTTTAAAATGGCTGGCAAGCTTAAAAGTGAGTGTTTTGTGGTGCGGAGAAGAAAAAGAGACTCAATTTTTTATTTAAGCATTTCCGACTTGCGACCATTTCGACTTACGACCTGGATATCGTCCCTAACCCCGTCGTAAGTCGGGGAGTACCTGTAAGTGCCAAATGAAAGTTTAACAGTCACCATTGGCATATACCTGGACACCCTGTTCACCATAGCATCATAGATCCTAACTCCGCCTATTCCCTAGGAACGCTCCCTCTCCCTACCAACTGCTAGGCCATCCTCCCGCTCCCTCACTGAGCCAGTTAACTCATGTGCAAATAAATGCATATTCCCTTATGTTTGCCCTTAGGACAATTATTTCTTCACAATATGTATGTAGGACAGTGTGTGCATGTAACTGAGTAAAAATAAATGAAGAAAGTTACGTACAGTAAACGGTATCTACCCGAAAATACGAGTTGAAAAACAACTATAACACCTCACAGCTTGGCCCAGTAGCCTGGTGGTTACAGTGACAAGTCTAATCTGGCTACAATGCCGTCAGCAATGATAACAGATGCAAATGTGAAAAGAAAGTTATTTTGAAATCTTCATTTGTATCAGGTACCTGTATTTGTAGATTGAAAAAAAATGTTGCAGAAATGGCATTAATAGACTGTAAGAGTTCAGAAATGGTTATTGCTTAGCCACCTCTGAAGAGTTAGGTGTCTACAGTACGGATGTTAATCGTCTCAGGTTATCATCATCAATACAGTACTGTAGTTACAAATTGAGCTTTTATATTTAAAATAATTATTTTTTAATTAAAAATAATAATTACGTGCTTAAATAAGCAATATTTTTAATTCTGGAGTTGGGTGAGGTAGAATTTAGCCTAGTGGAGACAGCAACTGGGGGGATTCATTAGATTACGGGAGACCGCAACCTCACAAATTGGATTAATGAAAATATTCAGTTGTTGTTCTTACCCCCTAATGTCACCTCTCTTATTCAACCTTTGGATCAGGGATCCATTGCCTTATTCAAACGAATGTATTTGAAGACAACAATGAAGCAAATGGCAAATGTAATGAGTTCTGACCAAGAACTGACTATCCAGCAATTCTCAGTCGTACCAAAATTTGTCAAATTACATATTTTCGAGTCCCAACGTTAGCAATTACGCTGTGTACTGACAAAATTTTCATTTGTAATCCACTTTAAAATGGCTGGCAAGCTTAAAAGTGAGAGTTTTGTGGTGCTGAGAAGAAAAAGAGACACCCATATTAGATTTTCTATGTACAGTGGGGTATGCTATAACGAACGGATCCTACTACGAATATTCCTATAACGAACGGTTTTACCTATAAAATTGAGAATGCTATAACGAACGAAACTCCTACAATGCACATTATTTAAAAAACATTTTTTTTTTACTAATTTATTGTTTTTTTATTACAAGTATTAATGATATTGGTTATTTCAGGGGTTTAGATGCATATTTATGCACTTTTTTACAATTTTTACAATTTTATATTATATTTTTCAGTGTTAAGTGGTTGTATTTGGTGGCCTGGAACGGATTAATCCTATAACGAACGAATGCTATAACGAACAAGGTTCTAGAACCAATTAGATTCGTTATAGCATACCCCACTGTATTATTTAACCATTTTCGACTTACGACCTGGATTTGGGTCCCTATCCCCGTCGTAAGTCGAGGAGCACCTGTATATAAAGTTATAAACCATGCATTTACCTACAAAAACATCATAAGAAACATTGTATCATTACTAGAGAGAATGAAATATTATTCTAACAAACACCAATTGACAACTACAGGTACTCCCCGACTTACAACGGGGTTAGGGACCAACATCCAGGTCGTAAGTCGAAATGGTCGTAAGTTGGAAATGCTTAAATAACACATAGAAAATAAAAAATTTGGGTCTTTTTTTCTTCTCAGCACCACAAAACACTCACTTTTAAGCTTGCCAGCCATTTTAAAGTGAATTACAGATGAAAAATTTGTCTGTGTACTGACTTTGGGACTCAAAAATACAGTACAGTGACCCCTCGGTTAACGAACTCAATCCGTTCCAGAAGGTCGTTCGTTAACCGAAAAGTTCGTTAACCGAAACCATTGTTTCAATGGGTTTTTGGGTAATTGGTTCCAGCTCACCGAAAATTTCCTAAATTCATCAAAAATGGTAGAAAAGTTCACTTACTTTGAGGTGTGTATGTAGAAGGCTCCTGGATGATGATGATGATGGGATTTAGAATGGGGATGGAGGAGAAGGAAGAAGAGAAGGCATTGGGATGGAAGAGAAGTCACCCGATGGCGCCATTTCACCCATAAAATTTTAGCTCTCTTGGTGTAATTCAAGATTATTTTCTTTAAATCAACACTGCACTGCATTATATATTGTCAATATGTAAAATATATTTTAAAATGACCAATAATTTGCTTGGAAACACAGAAAAAGAGCATTTAGTTGAAGAGAGTCTCAAGCAAGATGTTACCTCCAGTGAAAACAGAGAGAGACTAACGCCTGTTTGCTGTGTTAAGAGGCTGGATGCCGTGCATTAAACTAGTCAATTTACCTTCAATTATGTTCAATAATTGTTAAAATGACTAAAAAATTGAATATTAAACTTTTAAAATTATTGAATAGTATAAACTTCTTGATATTTACTAAAATAGTAAGGAATTTAAGCCCTAGAACCGATTAATGTATTGGCGGACTGATACTAAAGCTGGTTGCCCGGTCAGTGCAAGCGAAAACATGTTGAGGTCGGTTCGTAAGAAATTCGTTAACCGACTTTTTGTTCGTTAACCGAATTGAAGATCCTTATGGAAGGCAGTTCGTTGACCGAAATTTCGTTAACCGAGGCGTTCGTTAAACGAGGGGTCACTGTACATAATTTGACCACATTTTGGTATGACTGAGGCAGGTCGAAATTCTCACGAACAACACGTTTTGTTGTGAGCATCAGCTGGTCAGCTGATGGGCTAGTCTGCCAATTCAGTAAACTGTATTCTATGTTTACATTCGTTTCCAGTGGAGTAAATATCAAGAAAGTTGTGCTCTTTAATATTTGTGCATTTTTTATATTAAAATTATTCGTCATTTAAAAATTTAGTTAACATTTGATAATATATGTAGTACAGGGAACTAGTTTTTTGTGCGCTCATCAGCCGCTTGACTCAGCCACCAGGCATCAGTTTGGCTTTGTTGACAGTGGAGTGAACATCAATTTTGTTGGTGTCTTGAATATTTTTGCATTTTTACATTAAAATTATTGGTCATTCTGAAATTTAGTTAACATATTGATAATATATAGCGCAGTGCAGTGTTGATTTAAATAAAATAATCTTGAATTACACCTTGTGAACTTAAAATTTTATTGGTGAAATTACTGCATCAAGCATGGGTCCCCTGAAAGGTGATTTCTCCTCCATCCCCACTTCATTCTCTTCTTCCTTCTCCTCCACCCCTACTTCTAATTCCCATCATCATCATCAACCAGGAACCTTCTACATACACACCTCAAAGTAAGTGTACTTTACTGCATTTTTTTTTACTATGTATGTACTTTTCTGTGAGCTGGAACCAATTACCCAATATCCCATTGAAACAATGGATTCGGTTAATGAAATTTTCGTTTAACAAACGACTTCGTGGAACAAATAGTGTTCGTTAACCGAGGGAC